GTATCATTCAGATACCCACAGACGTGCTCAAGTTGCGACTGCAGGTTTTCAAACCCATACCTGACCTCCTTTCCCCTTTGGAATTCACCCCCTCCTCTTCTGCCTCTACACCCCTCTCCCCTGCCTCTACTCCGCTGCTCTCCGCTGCTCTCCGCTGCTCTCCCCTGCTCTCCGCTGCTCTCCCCTGCTCTCCCCTGCTCTCCCCTGCCTCTACTCCGCTGCTCTCCGCTGCTTCCCCCCTGCCTTACTCCGCTGCTCTCCGCTGCTCTCCCATGCACTTCCCTCGTCCTCTGCCATCTTGTTCCTCCTAGTCTCTCATCCACATTGTCTTCGCTGACATGCCCTGCTAGAATCACGTTCACGACAGCCTCTCCCAGGGTATCTCCCACATCATACGAGAGAGGTTCGCTCCCCTACCAGCTTCTCCTCTCTCAAGACTCGTGCTCATCCAGGGGAGTTTCAGCCCTCTACAGCGGATCCCGAGCATGGATGCTGCTGCACATTCCGCGGCTGCAGATGACGTGACCGGTGAAAGAGGATGGAGGAGGAGGAGCTGAAGCGATTGAAAGGTACATGATCTACGAAGGGGTTCGGCATCGCTACAAGAAGGTCATTACCCCAAGGTAATTCCCGCCAAGGGAGGGAGATGGGTGGGGTGGGAGCAGGGTGGAGCGCTGGGGGTTTGATCAGTGGAGGGTTGTACGAGAGTCAGTCTGAACTTGATCTTTCTAGGGAGATCCAGCCGTGGGAGGACTCATGCGTAACTTGTTGCAAGTTGCTCGCGCGCACTCACGATGCCCCTAGATCGGAGCCTTCCAGGGCCTCGTCAACGGCCTCGTCCTCACGCCCATCGACACGATCAGGTCGCGCATCATGTTACAGGGGGCAGGAGGAGCCGTCGGCGGCAAGACAAGGAAGGAGGCTGTGGGGAAGAGCGAGGGAGTAGTGCAGGTTGGGATGAAAATCTTCAAGCACGAAGGAGGCGCTGCTCTGTTTCTCGGAGCGCCGCAGCGAATGGCAAGAGGAGGACGTGTTGTAAGTCACGTGACGGGTCTGGCAGGTGTGGATGGCATTGAGAGGAGCTGTCTTCTTCACGGCCCTCGAGGTTTGACTCGACTTACCTTTGCAGTGTGAGGAGTGACGAGTCGCAGCTCGCGAAGAAAACGCTGGGAGTGTCTTCCAGTTGATCAGCTGCCTGTCAGCATTGCCATTGTACAGTAAGGTGAATCGGCGACAGCAACGAGCGGTCCTTGATAAATGGATTATACTTTCATCCATACCTGTCACCCAAAAAAGTCTCTAAGTGTCTCTAACCTTCCTGTACTTTCTCCGACGATGTACAACTTGACCAGTCTTCTCCAAAGATCTCCCTCATCTGACCAGATGACTGCACATTCGCCGCACAAAGCCCAGCAACCGCATTTGATCCGAATAAACTTGAAATTATTTATTTCTATGCAGACTCGTCATCGTGTGCATCCTGTTTTACCGTTTGCTTGCTGCTGGAGTAGAAACACGACCGCCGATCACACCTTTCTTCTTCTCTGCTGGACGCAACACTTGAAATGAGCACATGAGAGTTTCGTCCACGGACATCATAGCCCCCGCATTGTCAAATTCTCCACAGTAATTAGGCGCACTGAACACCGTCACCAACTGCCGTCTCGCAAAGAACTCATATCCATCTTCCACCACTTGATGCGCTCTGACAATGAGATCAAAGTCCTGAGAATATCTCATCAAATTCAGAAATCAAACTCAAGGTATGAACTCACGTGCTTCCGATTGAACTTCTCAACAATGTCAGCCCCAAAGGTGAACGATACACCTCGATCACTCTCAGCCCTACACACGTGTGAATCTTCTTTTCAATCTATGAATCATAGTACCATCCACGGATATTGGGATCAGGATCTGCCCAAAGAACATCGCAAAGCAAGCCAGTGTCTGGAACATCGGTTGGACGCAAAATGCGGCGAATTTGCTCCATGCTGTTCAAATCGGGCGACAATCCTCCATGTATGCAAAAAATCTTATCATCAACCTAAGGACTCAAGTAAGCCATGATGTGCACGCTGGAAACAAAGGAAGAATACAATCGCAGCGATCGGGAGACAATTGAAAACCTAACAAGCAACAGTGAGATTGAATTCAGTCAATTCAAAAATTCACCCACCATATTGAACGCTTTCCAAAGCTTCAAGCTGTAGCGGCGCTTACATTCGTCATAGAATCTGACATGGTGTCAAGCTCATCTGATGGTGCGACGTTTCATACCCGTAGATTCGATTGATGGATGAACATTCATGATTTCCTCTCAGCATAAAAAAGTTCTCGGGGTATTTGATCTTGTAGGCGAGGAGCAAACAGATGCATTCCAATCCTTGAGGTCCTCGATCGACATAGTCGCCAAGAAACAGATAGTTCGCTTCAGGTGGAAATCCACCATATTCGAACAAGCGCAGCAAATCAGGGTATCTGCGAAACATCGTAAGCAACACTTTTCCTTATACCGTAATCAACTTACTGTCCATGTACGTCACCTACTATCTTCAACGGCGCTTCGAGTTCGAGCAGAACTGGTTGTGCCATAAAAATTTCTCTTGCCTTCGTAACTAGTGTTTGAATCTCCTCCTCCTTGAGAGAAACTTGTGTGGCCTAATAACATGATTAGGTGTTGTGATTGAAAAATTGAGGATTTCCGCCTCAAGTTGACATTTCAAATTTCAAGGTAGAAGACGTTAACAATAAAGCAAGATTTCACGGTCGCGTTGATGAATCCTCACCTTCCCCGGTCTATTTCCTCGAACCGCCAAAAGTCTTTCAATAATACTATCCACCGCTTTTTCTGTCTCCCCATCTATTGTCGCAGACATTTTTTTTACCGATTTATGTGAGTTATCCTGTTGCAAGCAATGTCAATATCCATTCTTCATTTCAAATCTTGGAAAGAAAACGAAACAAGATCCTGAACTCACGTTAGCAGAACTATTGAAACAGTGCGATCTTTGGTACAACTGGCTCCGGTCGGCCCTGCCATACAGACAATTAGAATAGCCGTGTCCCCTTCATGGAATATCACACAAGACATTCTGTTGCAGATAATGATGGCAAACGATAATTTCGCAGGACATGCAATAGTATGGATTTCGCTCATGACAACAGTATTGAAACGTGCGGTACTGCAGGGAATAACCCTTCACATACAACAAAATGTGGGGACGAGTTAAGAAAGCGATAGAGCACATTCTAACTTAGTCATACTACTCAGGAGAATGTCGCGTTCCTTCTTCTAGTGACATGGGAGAAAATCAATAATCTTATCGCGCATAATGTTTTGCTTCAACAAGGTCACGACATGAGTTGCAGACACTTCACTTTCACGACTGAAAAGAGTCACTTTAAATGACCACATATCAATAAAATGATTTGATGAGATGAGGCTGTAAGGCGCCCTGATACTGCACTTTCTATCAAAGGCTAGGTTGCGCCTTGCCATCCAAGTAATATCGGTTTGTTCATAAATCTTGCATTTCTAGCGCTGAAAGATCAGTAGATGCAAGTCAGTAGGCCATTCACGGGAAAGGCTGACACTTCTCGCCATGGATTGGAGATGAGAGGAGAGGAGGAGGCGATCAGGTCAACAAGGAAGGCGGGGGGAGTGCTGGCGAACAGGCAACAGCGGAGCCATGAGAGGGGCGGGAAGGGCGGCGGCAGGGAACGACGCGTGACTGGGGGGTCGGGGTCCTGGCCCTAAATGGGTAGGGTGCATAATTGAATGTAGTACCGAAGGGGGGTCACTGCCATGCTGGGGTACTGAAATCAATAGAGATAAGGGTGAGGGTGGGTCATTCGCAGCCTCGAGCGTATGCAGGTTTTGAGATGACCCCTCAACAAATTTTCAGCGAATATCAAACTGTTTCGCCACTGCTCTCAAAAGTTTCAAGTTTAGGAAAGAAATAAACTTGAAATTTGAAAAGTTAAATCAATATATTCAAATTACCAACTTCAGGGTGGGTATTTGTCCGAGCGAGGTATCACAGCCTAATGAGCCAGGTCCTCGAAGACCCTAGGAAGGGTGGGTACTACGTAGGAAAAGGGTGGGTACACACTGTCAGGGGTTATTGGTCGTGGGCCGATATGCGGCTTAACCTTGAGGCTGATATGGGGCTGATAGATAAGGGGGTAGGATCAGTCAGAGCAGGGTCCTGAGCCGTAGGGTGGGGTGGTGGAGTTTGAATTCTTGGATGTAGGTTGTTTGCCGATGGAAATAGGGAAAAAGGGTGGGTACTTTGGAGGGAAGTCACCGGTACATCTTTCAAATCAAGCTTGTTCCAGGGGTGGGTCCCATGGCTAGCTACGATTTGTGTGGTTGGAAGTCATCGGGATGTAATGACTGCCAGCCATCACCGGTGGTCGGACAGTGGACATTCCCTGGGGTGGGTAGTGCTCATGAAATAGGGGTGGAGATATACTTGGGGGTGGGTTGAACGAATTGATCCCTCTAGGATACAGGGGTGGGTCAAGGAATCATTGCATTAGATTCATCGTTCAGGGGGTAGGCGAATTATGAAGTCTGTGTGACAGGGTAGGCACCTCGCATAAATGCATTATGACAGCACTCGAGAAACATTTGACTTCTACACCAACAGCAACGAATGCTCTGAGATACGAGCGTATGATCTTGAGCCCTGCACCGGTACTTGTATCACTACTAGCAGTCTGGAACTAGGAGGGGGTCTGCAAAAGGTTACTAGTAGAATGTGGGGTAGTTGGGGTAGTTTGGGCGGGTAGCTCACAGCATGTGAGCTTCGGATATGGTTTCTGTCTACCTCACCTCACCCACCCCACCAAAACACCCCACCCCTCGAAAATGTCCTGCATCGAAGATGACTCCACCCCGTGTTTTCGTACATTGTGTTCCCTCTGCTACACATGTGATACCCCTACCCCTGTCGCGATTTATCCGAGAGACCACCCACCACTTTCTCATGGGGTCGTATTCCCCAAGTCCCCGGGCCTCTGGATTCTAATTAGGCGGATGACTGAAAAGGAGTTAAGAGAACCCTGGGGGGTGGGTGGTGAGTTTATTGAAGGGGTGGGGTTGAGGCCCGACAACTTGAGCTTGCTGTACGTACCGCCTCACATTTGAAATTCAGACAGATCAATGAACGATTTGGAATATCCCATCGAAATACCTCTTAAAACTTATTATTGTAAGTGTACTCAGGGGGAAGCTAATAAATATTTTATGTGGTAAAAAACTGCAATCAGTACCAAAGTTTTCAAATAGTACCATGATATATACAATGATTGTCAAATTGAGCCATACCGGGCCCGATGGCCGCCGCCCGGCAGGTTCACTGAGAGCAGCAGAGGCTGAGAACTTCAAAGTCTTCCACTATCAAACTTCAAATTGTCCAGACAAATTTGAAACAAAGGAGAAGCCACGATAGTTGGGGGGCCTCAATTTTGCAGTGGGGTGGGGTATGTGGTTGTGGTAAGGGTAGGGTGCTGAAAAACAATGCTGGGAGGGTAACAAGGGGGTGAATCGAAACGTACCGGTCCTTTTCCCTGTTTTCATAGGATCATAAATGGGTAGATAAGTGAAGCAATGCATCTTGACATGTCTGCAGGGGTGGGTGGGTAGTGAAACCAAGTCCTCCGTGTGGTAGGTCAACAGCTCCTTTTACCGGGTGGGGTGGGGTAATTCTGACGTGAGGAGGGGTGGGGTAGGGTAGAAGATACAAGCAAAGAACAGGCGGAGAAGAGAAATGGAGGAGGAATGATTGAAGGCGGATATGCAGGGGTGTAACGCGTATGTTGAGACAGAAAAGCAGGATAAATGTTTGTTTCCCATAACTGATAGAAAGGCGAAGCAATGCGAAGGAGGAAGAGGAGGGGGGATAGGGGAGGAAATGAGAATGCCCATATCATGTTTGAGATGCAAGGAGATAGCTGCAACATCATAATTGAATAATAGTGATGATCAATCCTTGTTTCACTGCTTGTCCTGAGTAGATCACAGAGAAGTAAATACTACACACACAGAAAATGGAGGAGTTGGAGAAAGCTGAAGGCTTGAGAAGTAAGACATCCAATGGAGTAAGGAAGAATTTAATAGAAGAAGTTCCAGAAATGAAGACGGAGAGGAGAGATTAGAATGTACTTAGTGAAGCTTTCCTAATGGATTTGTGACAACTGGATCCATTGATGCGTCCCTCTGCAATTTGCTGAAGAGATTTTTGCCCCAATTTCTCATTTCTCATTGTTGTCGAATTGCGCAAGTCCTGGAGTAGCTTTCATCTAGTTCTCTCGTCTTTGAGGGAGTAACAAGCATCATCTCAGATTTCACACTCGCTCACACAAACACTTTCTGACACCCGATGGAAGTACAACTGATCTTGCCTTGAAGATGTTCCGCTCCGTCCTCTTTGTCGTCGCCTCCTCCTTGCTGGCTGCATCGTGCGTCGAGGCATTTGGCTTGAGCGCGCCTCTTGCTCTCAGAGGCAAGGCTCCAGCCCTGGCAGCCTCTGCCCGCGTTCGCAGCAGTCCTCGCTTGGTGGCTCCCAGGTGAGAAGAGATGTGCAGTTGTGTAGCAGTGTTTGGCAAGAGTGCCAGGAGCAAGTTATGAATGGAGGAGTTGCGAGGCGGGGGAGAAGAGATGAGGGAGGATGGACAAGAGTAGAGGGGAAGAAGAGGAGTCGGATGTGCAAGCTAACGAAGATGTGAAGAAGTGAATTAGCTGATGTTGTTCTCCAGGTGTCAGTCATCTTCGATTCTGGAAGCGAGTGGAAGCCCGATCACCATCAGGGGAACTCAGGGAATGTCGATGTTGGCGATTATTTCCCTGACGAGAACGGCAACGTGGTAGGAAGGGGGAGGGGGAGGTGAACATCAGCGTCTGAGAATGGAACCAGGTCGACTCAACTGGCTTCACGTCAGGTGGACAATGGAGCGAGCGAGGTGCCGGCTCGTAGTCCGATGACTGTGGCTGTAGGAGCCGCGGCGACTGGAGGAGATGCGAACACGAAGCTGTCGAGCATGCTTTCGGCGGACAAGACCGAAGTCAGGACGGTTGAGCGCCTGACTTACGACAAAGTAGAGTTCAAGGTTCCTTCCTCTTCCTGCTTCCAAGAGCTTCAGGTGACTGAAGGATCTGTACGCAGGCCCATCCCTGGAGGATCGACGGAGACTTTGCTTCTGGAGACCCCCGATTTGATCTCCGCATGGTGGGTATGGAGAGGGAAGAATCAGGCTGTGGAGGGTATTAGGGAGAAAGCGAGGATGAAAGAAAGGGCGGGGAGAATGCAGAGGAAGGAGTCAGGAGTGGAGAAAGGAAGCATGTGGAGTATAGAGCTGTTTTAGGGAGAGAACATGATTGTGTATCAAGATGACTGGTACAACAGAACAGTGCCATGGGCGAGGCCTCTACGGAGATCATGATCGAGCCAAACAGGCACGAGATGATCCTGACCCGGCCTGTTTGTGCTTCTAATTTCTCCTATTCCAGCATGACGTTTGAAGACTTCGTAGCTGGCTTCACCCCGGACTCTGCACCAGGGTGGAAGGTCGAGCCCTCCAGCGGAACTCTTCAGCGAAGAGGAGGGGAGCCCCAGGTAGCTTTTCAGACAACCTCAGTGTACTTCTCTTTCCGCATGCTGCTCCTCTCCATCCCTCTTCCCTCTCCTCCTCTCCCCTTTCCTGCTGATTCCCCTTACCGCCTTTTTCGCAGTTCATGGAGGTTAAATACACGGGAAGCATCGCTGACAAGGTGACTGTACTCTCCCTCACACTGCTAGCTGATGTTGGATCGCCTCTTGCTCCTTCCAGGGCGAGAAATTCGGCACTCTCGTCGTGGTCCTCCCTAACGACAACTTCTCGTGGACTTTCAAGTTTCGTTGCATCGTCTGAGTTGCCGAGTAGTTTCAGCTAGTCGGACTTCAAAGTCTCAGCTACTACTAGTAGAGTTTCCGGGCACCGAACTCGGCCCTTGAAGACCGTTCACCGGCGTCACGTTTGACCGTCAATCCTTGAACTCAGCCGACTCCGAGACTCGGCGGCGACTGCCGCTCAGGGCCGCTCAAGCCGGGCGATTCCGAACCCGGGCCGGGGCAGCCGAACTTCGGAAGTTGGCGGCGAGTCGGCCAAGTGGTGCCGTATCGACTCATTGAGCCCGGCTCACGGGGTCGGCAGACTCTGAGAGCCGCCGGGCCGCCGCACGGGCCGCCCGCACTGAAGTGGGCCCCGCCGGCCAGCAAGCCACTCGGAGCCCGGCGCTGATCACGGTCAGAGCAATGATCGGAGTCCGATCGTCTGTGACAAAAAAAGAACGTGACTACAAAGAGACCCACCCTAGCCGGTCTCATGTCAGGGGTTGAAGAGGTTGGAGTGGGGGGTGGGATACACTTGGACCTAGCATTTGTGACTCCAGAGTCCCCTGCGTGCAAGACGGGTACTTTCCCCTTCTTTCTGATGGGAATTCGGGGGTAGGGACGGAGGATCCGGGGGCATACTGTTGCAATTACGTTACCCCCAGGTCACTGATGATCTCAACCGTTGCAAGCCTGAGACTGAGTTATTTCAAGCCCGCCTCAGATTGTACACCCGGTCCTTCTACCATGATTTCAGGGGTGGGTCTCTGCTTGTCTAATACGAAAAACTTAAATTTCAACATCCCGTGTCCCTAGTCAAATCAAAAAAGATTAAAAAGACAACGTTTCGATCAGGAGATTTCCGAAATCACAACGTTTCGAACCAATGTCAGCAGAAATGCTGATGGTTCGCCTACACACATGGAGTGGTCACGTTACTCTTCGCTGTTGTAAGATATTCTTGGGTTCGCATAAGCTTTTGGTCAGCGTCACTACCTCCCAAAGGGGGGTAGTCTTGAACCCCCGGCTTGCGAGTACCCCCCAACTTCCATGTACTACCCCCATTTCTCACCTTCATTTTTCAGACCCATGACCCCTGTGGATTTGCAAGGTGGTCGCCTGGCAGTGGTGACTGCTGCTGTCCTGTCCCCGCCCTAGCCTACCGTCTTGCCACCCTTCGCCGCGTCTCCTCCTGCTCGAAACAGAGGTGGGATAGCCTTGATCGCTCCTCTTTCTCTGACATCCACTAGCCGACCATCGCTGCAAGCAGAGAATTTCTAGGAGAGTTTGTAGAGAACTAAAGTCGGGCAAGCTCGACTTGCTGCGACTTGGACGTCTGTATTCGGACACAACTGACTCGTATCTTGTTCTGAGAAGAGTGGATAGGACCTGAACAAGCGGAACGGACGTGCTAGGATTTCTTTGATGCTCAACGAATGAGACTGTGGGAAGCTTTCTCGAGCTCTGGAGGGCTGACAGATCAAGCTCACATTGAGCAATCGGAGCTCTCTGCTTCCTCCGACTCTGTATCTCTACAGAACGCGAGCGTCTTGCTGAGCCTTGCAATGCACCAGGAGAATCGGCCAAACATCCCCCCGCAAAGCAGGTGCATCGACTCAACGGCGGCAGAGATACAGAAAATCTTGAACTCGAATCAAGCACGTTCATCGGCAGAGCTCCTGCAGTTTTCACTCCCTCTTTCATCCTTCACACCATCACAGACAGCACACTCAAGTCAGACCCTTCCCCCCATCGGCCAGGCCATCCCCTCCATCCAGACTCTTGGACTGTCAACCCCGACCCTTCACAACTCAAACGTCGCTGGCTCCTTCGTTCCGCAGGCCTCTTTCCTTGCTAGACCTCTGGTCTCGATCGCTCCCCCCCTTGACCTCCTTGCGCTCTCTCGGCATATGAGTGTGCATGCTGCTCCCTGCAGGCCTCAACAGACTCCTGGTGCCTCGCAGACGTCCTCCACCAGCTTCTCAGCAGGCAGTCGTGTCTCTATGTTCACATCCGTTGACCCCTCGCTGATCTCGGGATCGTCACGAAGTTTCGCCTCTGCTCCCGCTCAGCCCAGCAGATCATCTTCGGTTAACATGCTCGGCAGCACAACGCACGGGATAGGAGGGGACAGCGACTCGAAGGGGGAGCTGGCGATGGCTCATGGGGACGAGGGGCTGAGCAGGATAGGGCAGAGCAACCAGATTGACTCCTTCCGCCGATTCTTGTACGACTTGATGAGCAAGGAGGTGGTGATAGTGGAGGAGCTGAAAGAGGGAGACATTGCCTGCGACCAGGAGCTGAACCCACTCGCCATCAAAGCATGGAGGGTGCTCAAGATCGACGACTGGTGGGTAGCGGTGAAGCAATGGTTCCAGCACGATGCCAGCAAGTTCAACATGCGAGCGTGAGTTTACACCATCAGTCCCCTCCTCCCCCTCGCTGACTCCCCTCCTTTCCCTCCCTCACCCGCACGCTCCTCTCTATAATTATTACTCCTGCCTCCACACCCCCACCCCCGCCCTCGTCCCCACTTGCCTCCCCTCGCCCCCTCGCACAGGAATTCTCCTCCCCTCACACTTGGTCAGGTTCTTTATGATGCTCCGACGAATCGGCTTCCGACCCTTCAACAAGGCTCCTGCCCCGGCAACGTCAGGGATGGACTATGCTCTCCGGAACAAGTTCGTCAGCGATCACGGCTACATCTTTGACTGTGAGACGCTGGAGAAGTACTGCCAGAGCCGTCGGATCCTAACGAAACTAAAGCGAAAAATGGCGGCGGCAAGCGGCGAGGGATCAGACGATACAATGGAGAGCAACACGACAAGGAGAAAGATCATGGACTGACTTGTAACATCAAGATAATCAAGCGAATTCACTTCATTTGGCTACAACCATGGCATCCACCACTTGTACATCTGACTGAGGTTCTCAGGGTCAACTGCCTCTGCTATCACTGCTCTGACTTGTCCGCTCACCGACAAGAGCTGCCTGATGTCTCGCCGGTCTGGGAACCTCGTAACCTCCCCCCGTAGCCTCCGCTCGCATTTGCCGAGCTTCTGCGTGCTTTCACTTTGATGCCGGTCACTGTCCTTCTTGATCCACTCGACGAGGGGGTCGTGAGCGAAAGTTTCCAGCACGTTCATGAGCGAGTCCCAATTGTCTCTGAGAATCCTCATGGTTACAGTGCACATGCTAGTGAAGGCTCCCTTGTACCCGCACACGCCCATCGGGTCGATCATGTTTGGGGTCAGGCGGAAGGGAACTCTTTCCGGCACTTGGAGAGTTTCGCCTTTGTTGAAGATGCAGGCAAAGTCCACGTGGATACAATCGCCAGACGTTGACTCGATCAGAATGTTCTCGGCATGCCTGTCGCCCAGGCCGATCACATAGCCGACCATGCTCCATACGGCGGTTGAGCGAACAAACGCGTTGCGAGCCAGCACCCAGGTAGCTGGATCTCTGAAGTTGTTCAAGAACCACTTGTGGAAGATTGGAGGATACTTGTTGGTCAATAGCCTGTAGAAGTCTATCTCGTGGAGATCTCCTTTGGGCTTTAACCGCTTTGAGTACATGTCAGATATCTTCTTGGTGCTGTGGTAGTCCTTGCCAAACTCTGACTCGTAAAGTGCGTTCAGGATCCCTCGAATCACGTTCGTGTTGTTCACCCACTGGATGATACCGTTGGTCTCGTTCAATGGAACAACAGCAAATGTTCTTATGCAAAGATTGCGTTTCCTGGAGTCACTGTCGTTGAGCAGCAAACGATTAATCATCGTGTTGAAGTCCATCATCCGACTGTCTTTTCTTAGATCATCGTTGGGCTTGCATAGAAACCTGTAGCCCTTTCCATCACTGCCAAGGATTCGCACAACAACAGGTTTTTGAACTGATTGCATCACTTCGACCTGCTCTTCGAAGTCCTTCACAAAGACAGAGTTCTCTGGATAGGGATTGTGCGACATGCTTGCTCTGCCATCGCAGGGCAGGACTGGGATCAACATGGCTTGCTCAGGCATGAGGATTTTGTTCTTCATCTGCGGCGATTTCATCATTCGGATCAGGTTGACGCCTTCCTGCTGTATGTTCATCGTCTTGGACTTGAGATCCTTCTTCCACGCTACATTGCAGAGTTTGACCAGCTCGTCCACGAAACCGTGCCTGTGATCTTGCCCGATGTACGCTTTCAGGATGTCCTCCACTTTGCTGCGAAGGTTCTGGTCGTTCTTCAACTGATTCAACGCCATGGTCAAGGCTTCTCTCGCCGGTTTCCTGCGAGGAGGTTGATTCGACCTGACGACAGCAACCATCTGCCACAAGCACTCGGCTGGATGCTTGATGAAGACAGACGCGATGATGCTGATGAGACACGAGAGAACGTCTGGGTCCGTATGACAAATACGTGAAATAAGTTGCGAGAACACAGACAACCATGTGTAAGAAGGAACATTGCTCTTCATCTTCTGAAGGGCTTGATGGAGCTGCTTCTTTATCTCTGGTGAAACGCTTGGGTTTTCCGCGTTTTCAAACCATAACGTAAGCAGTCGTGGTAAGGATTGGAAAATGTACTTGTGCCCGTATTGAAGGCTGGTCGCGTAGTGATTCAGGATGGAAGGAAGGAGTTGACTGTCTTTTCTGTTTGTGACTCGACAACCATTGTTGCCATTCCCTTCGAACTTACTTGCACCTGTTCTGTCTGGAAAGAGTGAGATGTCGAAGAAATGCCCAAGAAGAAAGTTGATTTTCTCTGATTCTCGATGGTTGGCAGGCAAACGTGTGCAATGCTCTTGAAAATTTTCAATGATCTGAGAAATCTCTTGCATTCCCAGCTCTTGGGTCCACTTCCAATGGAGCACGATCGCCTTGGCAGTTATTCCCATGTCACTAGTAGGCGACTGACTATGGATATCGATGTATTCCCTCAGGACTCGAACCGCGTCATATCGCTCCATCGGATTGCTCCACTTCAGCTTCGCCCTCTCAACGTGAGCCTTTAATGCCCCGTACCTTTCTGCTTGCATGATCGCACTATGTGCTGTACTTTCATGCCCAGCATGTCGAGCTGCCTTTGCAAAGTAGAGCCAACTATCAGCCACTTCTGCTTTGAGATCCAACATTTGAAAGAGCACACGTCGCAGAGCAAGCAGAGGCTCTCTTCCCATCAGCCCCGCCTGTGTGTGCTCAAACCTCTTTTCCCATGAGCTCTTCACAGTCTCAATGACCATCCTCTTTGCGTCTTGGCTCTTGTCTGCTTGGCTAAAGAAAAGATGCAGGACATGTTCGATTTCTGTCAGCATGTGCAGGCGCAATATAAGAGGATACGCCCTCTGATATGACTCCATGCTGGCTGCGGCTAATGAATCCAGTACCGACTGACGAGCTCTACGTATTTGCTTCTTGCATGATGATTCCTCGCCCTTGTGAAGAAGGAGCAAAACTCTTGCAAGATGATTTTGGAAAGGAGTCTTGATAGACGTGTCTTGTAGACTTGTTTCATCCAAGTGTTGTTGGATAAGATCCCATCTCCCAAGTCTCCAAGACGATTGCAACGCGTAGGAGCGAAAGTTCGTGGCCTCGTTCGGGTATCGGGTGATTCCACCTTCGGCATGCGTCAACATGGTGTGAAGATGTCCAAGGTTTCGTAGACAGCACAGAAGGCCGTGGTGGTTTCTGATGGAGTCGGGGGCTTGCTGTAAGGCTTGTTCATACCCTGCAAGTGCTGAGGTCCAGTCTCCGACTATCTCGCTATCCAAAATTGTTTCCTCTAGGCTACTACGTTGTCGCATCTCTGCAACGCCCGTCAGATTGTCAGCGTCTTCCAACCCAGCGTAAATATGTTGCAGCAGCTCCAGAGCATGATCATCGATCAGTCGAGACCTGACAGCTTGCCCTGAACTTTCGCGGTCAGCGTTACCTCGACTCCATTCTTCTCGAATTGCTGTCTCCAAGTACATGAGACTTCGATCAAACGCTGCGCAGCGATATGATGTCTCTGCAAGAACTCGCTTCGGAATCGCGAGAAGGAATTTTTCGACGGATTTTGCTTGTTTACGCAGGTCGTTAGACACTTCATTTGGCATTTCAGCTTTCTTGGTGGTCTTCTCGAGCCATCTTGTGAGAGAATCTATCAAAGAGAAAACTGTCTGCGTCATTCCAGTGAACTTTTCTTGAGTTTCTTCCCAGTTTGAAACCGAAGTCATTCCTTTTGAGATGCAGTAATTGGTTTTGCCCTCACAGATGGCATGACTGAATTGCTGGTCAACCGTGACAACCATGTCATCACCGATGAAACCAATACATCTCTTCTCTCCAAGAATCTTCAAGAAAAGTTTCGAGTTTGAGTGTTGTTGCAAATTTCGCTGATCTCCAGATGCGCTCGCCAGGACAAATCGTTTTCCATTATGCACTTTCTTCACAACTCCCTCATCTATCAGATCTTCAAGTAATTTGACGTCTTGCAGTACCAGAAGCAGTTCGTTTCGGATAATATTACAATCCGTCTCATCTCCGAAACGTATGATATTCAAAACTGCATGCGGCAAAACATGTAATGAAAGCGAGGTGTCATACATCACTACTTTTTGCAATTTCTGTAACAATTCACCAATTCTTCCATCGCACCTTTGTATCACATCCCTAGTAAATAACCGCACCCAGTAATCAAATCGAATGTTATTGTTGTAAATAGGATACTGGGTTGAAGATGGGGTTTCTTTCAGGATGAGATTTCCGGCAAGGAAGGGGCTGATAATCTGCTGTACGTCTTTTGGAATACGATCCCAATTCTTTCTCCCCCTGATATCATCAGGATTCGTGGTGTAATGATTTGGGTGCTGAGACATTGACCGTTGAGAAAATGTCTCGCGTAATGGAATGTTCCTTGTGGGTTTAGACGGAGTTTCAATATCGGAAGTCTGCTTGCAGCCAAGAAATCGCAGAATTTCCTGTATAGCAAGCTGAGCAAAATTATTTGCTTTTGTTCTCTTTGCCATGTTTGCCCTGGTTGGTCCAACATCAGGTCCACTTCGAACAATCTTGACGAGATGATTGACGACCAAGTCAAGAGCAAACTCGTCAACATTCTCATCAACTTTTGATTCATCTTCCCTGGAACAGAATGTTATGAACGTGGAATGCAAATCTTTACAATGACCTCTTGATCAGTCCAATACGTGAAGGATCTATAGCTCCTATCTCCCCCAGACATTCACTGCTCAGAATCCTCAGGTCTGTCTTCCCGATTGCGCATCTTCGTAGCAGGACGCTGATAAGCTCCTTCATGTTGGCTATGGCTCTCAAACGAGCCTCGTCCAGGGAATTTCCGTCAAAAATCTGGAAGAAAGCTTCTTGTTGAAGTCTGCCAGACGCAAATGAATAAGATTGAGATTGCCCAAGCAATTGATACAAACTCACCGTAAAGTACTTTTCAGCTCCAGCAAAGCATATGTTTGAACAACTTCGTCGTCGCAGCAAAGCCCAGTCACGTGTCGGTGTATCAGGCTTGCAACATCGTCGACATGTTGTTGTTTTCGCAGAATCTAAGATTTCTAAGTCACACAGTGAAAGAACTCAACGTCACTCATTCACCGAGTCCACTTTCTTGAGCTTTGCATGTTTTTGTGGGATGTATGGAATGTACTTGATTTCCTCTTTCAAACTTTCATACCACGACACAACAATCAACTCAAGTGACGGAGCAACTTTGTCAGGATGCTTTTCAGCCAGCGCCAACAACGTCACCACAATCTGAGTTAGACTGAAAGCAAACAATCTTCAGCCGCCAAGACTCGCCATGCTTTTGAATACCTTCGTTGTAGCTGAAGACTAGACGGTCCTGAGGTCTCAATCAGCTTGTGCCAGACTTCGCAGCAAAGGTCTTGAAGTCCAATAATTTGCTGTGCGCACTTGATTGTGGAAATGAGCATAGGGAAGACTTGATCAAGATACTTTCCCAGCAATGGAATCGTGAATTTTATAGCCTGCAATCAGGAGTGATTTGCGGAAGTGCGTGATCGTGAGGTATTACCTTGAGGAACTTGATTTGGCCTGTTGTACAATCCGACCTTTCATTGACACGGAAATTTTGCATGGTCTGGTCATGAATGAAGCGAGAGTAGAAATCTTTCAGAGGTGCTGATTTATGTAAAAGCTCGATGGCCTGTGGTACGTGTGACGTGGAAATCAACACGGACAATCCTTTTACCGGTATCTTAAAGCCCTTCTCCAAACTTGCATATGTTGATCGTGGAGCGTCAACCAGACAAGAACATAGTTTGTACATGACCCATGACGAATATTCTTGTTCTGTTGCACCATCATACGAAGCAATCTGAATGTGGAGAGTTAGCCACAACAGAAATGAAGTAAAACAAACTTGCCTCGAGCAATATACCACTCAGAATATCATATGAACGTATATCTCTTGCAAGAACATTGAAGTCCGTGTCAAGGAAATTTGCGATGGAGATTTTTGCAGTTTCAAACTGGTCGTTGCTTTCCTTTGGAAGAAGCAATATATATCTCACAACTTCTATGAAGTATCCACATACAAGCTCTGCCGCATTTGACATCTGACCAATAGACTTACTTTCGATGAAAGGCACATTTCGTTAGCGAAGACCTGCATTTTCTCGGCCATCAATTCTAATAACTTTGTATCCTTTCTCACGATGATTTTTGGCAAGACATGTGGAATAGCAAGCTGAAATGAGGAGGATCAGACTTGAACGTGTTCTCCGATTTCTATAGAAATACCATACCTGTAGAATTTCGGAATAGGTAGAGAATTTTTCATCTGCAAACAGAGATCCAAAGGCCAAAACAAGATCTTGACTACTTTGAATGCTATCTGAGACCGGTTCAAGAAGGCCGTTCAAACTTGTGGCGTTGCTGCAAATCAGTTCTATGACCTGTAAACCAATCACAATAGGATCTCATGTAATTGAACAAAGCGAACCTTCATTTGACGAGCCTCTGCAATTCCTTGTAAAGCTGCGTAGGAAAGGGAAGACAATTCAAACATCTTCAAGCTAAGAAATTGAACTGAGATCAAGGACAAATCTGACACAATTGCATTAACTATCTTCTCAAGATCCTGGCTATCACTCTTGCACTGTGCAATTCCCAAGAATCCATAAACCATCAAGCAACCCTTGACAATCGATGCTCCCAAAGAAGATGGTTCAACTTTCGACAGCGTTGCCCGAATCTTGTTGAGCATTTTTTCTATTTCTTCTATCATATTGTTCGATTTTGTAAGCTTGAGAAGCATTTTACCATCGCCTGTGAGTCAGACTATAAGATAGTAATCAAACAAATCATATCTGACCTGAACTCAACAGTCCAAGAAATGCAGCAGCACATTTGCGCACTTGCAAACTTGTGTCGGGATGCAAAACCAAATCGAGGTATCTTTGAATTCCTGCGAAGTGTCTGATATGATCATCATCCGACAATTCCAGCAAAACTGGAATCGACTGCAATGCAGAAATCATCAACTCATCGTTTCCAGGAATAGGATCGTTGACAATCTGAGAGACTTGTTTGATTGCTCTAATCATCAAGTCAGAATGTTTTTGAGATATTTGACCTCTGGACTTGTTTATTTGCTGAGTCCCTAACTCTTCACCGTGTGCACTAAACGTGACATTTTCCATCATTTCTAAGTGGCATTGTGGAGTTCTCATTTTTTTGACAAAATCTCGCAGATCACTTGACTGATTGGCTACATTGAAGCTTCGCCTGACTTTTGCAAACATGGCAACTAGTATCCGTGCCATGGACATCGGGATAAACTTGCTCAACAGTTTGTTATTGGTCTTCATCAGTCTGCAAGAAAAAAAATCAGAAGGAGTAACAGAACCACAGTAAAATACTTTGTTAATATTTCCATCATCGTTTCTATTCGCTCCGCAGGGATTTCATACAAAAGCACAAGATCCGCGATGTGTTGAACAGCCTGAGCAGCAACCTGCTCATTTTTGGAGTTCAAACACTCATGGAAACAGTTTGTTGCAAGGTCGGCATCGGAGAATTTGTGGTAGGCTAAAATTTGGATTAAATACATGTGTTCTTTTTCCTCAATATTTGATATTCCATTCACCAGGATTTTGACTGTATCAGGCTTGAAAGATTGCAGGGTTCTAATTCCATATGTTCTGATTGATTTAGGATTCAATAAGCATTTAAAGATCTGAGACAATGTCATTGAGAAATTTACAAGTACACAATCAGCAAAATACTCACTTGCAGTATAAATGATCTTGACTTCTTTGATGTACAGGTTTTAAACATCTCAGACAGAGTTTGATCAACAGAATTCACAAGAAATTCTCCGGCAAACTCAAGATCTGCGTCCCCCAATATTTTGACAAACGTTTCAATTTGAATAAATTCCTTCAAAGAGTCGTGCATAGATTCATCTTTCCTTGGGGATCGCTTCCGCTTTCTGGCGCTCTTTTTCAGAGCGTTTCGTAAGGAAATCCAATAGAAAAGAAGCAGCAAATCTGCCGCGCTTACGATTGAAGATTTGGTATCGTAACCTATTCCCAGTTGCATAGTTTGACGTTTGGACTCTGTTAATCGTGTATATTCGTGTAAGGCTGCAGAGATTGATTCAAAATAAACTTGCTCCTTTCCGAGGAATAGTGGGTAAGTGTTAAGAGTACTTTCACAATCAAACTGACAACTTGACACTGGTTTTGAATGAGCAAAGTGTCGCATGAGGTAGTTTGAGTGCTGCTGGGAACCATTGAACAACTTCAGATTATTTCCTACTGTCTTCACAAGAGCGTTCTGAAGGCTCTCGTCCCCGAAGAACTCATTTAGTTGCAAAGCTAATGCTACATTCACTGGCGAAGAAGAAAACATGTACTCCATCCCTGTCAATATTCTTTCTTTCATGCTTCGGTTCAGACCCAATCTCAGCAGCGCTTGAGAAAGCAGAATTGGCTCCTCATAACTCGTCATATTCACATCAGCTGACATCTTAATTACCGCTTTGCTGAAACAATCGATCATTTTCACAAATATGGGATCTCCAATCAGATTTTGGCTGAGTTCTTGGTGTCGCATAGCAAGAAGGTTGGTCTTAATACCCCATACCAGGCCCTCAAGAATATCATCACTCTCACTCATTGGAATAGGAAACGATTCCAGTAGTGTGCAAAGCAAATTCCAAAACGTAATGGTACAATCATTCAAATTCTCACAAAGATGACTGGTGCATACTTTCCAGATTCTCCTGTACCCAAACAAAAAAAACATTAAAATTAAGTTTCTAGGAGAGAATTGCTCAGTACCTAACTTTATCCTGAAAGAAATGTGGAGCAATGCAGATAATACGATGAAAAAATGATTCAAGCGAAGAACGCAATGCTGTCTTGTTCTCATAATCTTCACCACAGATGACGCACTCAAGGTTATGATTTTCTTGTTGACTTATCTCTTTCAAATAGTTTTCTAGACACATCAATTTAGCTGAGCTTGTGTCTAAGCTTGTTCGGTTTGTTCGTGAAATCTTCTCATAGAGTATAGAGCTGTCTTCGAGAAGGACTTTGACTGACCATATATCCTTGGATACAGATAAAAGTATCAAAGAGTCCAAAGTCTCCAGTACGTCATCACGAACTTTGCTGTACTTGTAACCATTGAGCATTGGGAAAAGGAGAACTACAAAAGGTGCAATGCAAGTTGCTTCTCCATTCTCGAACATAGCTGGAACTGAATCCGCTAGCGACTTAAGCAGTTGCAAGATCTTTGATATTGGTTTTAGATCCTCGTCCTCCTGCGCAGCAATGCACCTTGGCATGACTGTCGTTCAAGTCATTTGCAGCCAACATTTGAACAAGACTCTTCAGATCTTCCAAGATTACAGGCTCAGCAATCAAACAGCTACTAGTATAAACGACCAAGTATCCGCATTGTTTCATCATACATCATCATCATACATCATCATGAGGGGACCCTCAACTCGAGGCGCGTATGGGTATATGCTGGCGGGTAGGGGCGACAGAGAGCTAGTCTCACCTTCCAGGAGCTTCATCCTCATCCTCTTCAGCGTCTCGTCCTCGGGGTTCTCATCGTCTGCCGCGCTGAGCTCGTGGAGCAGCGACAAGACTTCTTCCATGTTCTCCTTCACTCCCTCGTCCTAGGGAGGGAGGGGGTGGGTGCGCTGGTTGGATTGATTGGAGGGGGGTGGGGTCTTGTTTGTGGCAAAGTGGCGGGAACTATTTCAAGACTGACTCCGTACGGTCGGCAGTGCGGCCCGCCAGTGATCGGACTCCGGCGCCCGGGCCGCGGCCGGCTAGTACGGGCCGGCGTCGGAGTCCTCCATACTTGAAAGCCTGGCCGGGCCCGGCCGGGCCGCGCGCACTCAGTGCGGCACTGTGCTGCCTCGCCATGATTCTGAGCGCCAACGCTCTCGTCACGCCGCCGTCACAGGGCCGGCGGCGGCGGCGCGGCGCCGCCGCCTCGGAAGCCGAAGTGACTCAGCCCGTGAGGGGGGGGGTTTGCTTTCACCGGGGTGGATTGGGAGGTGGCGTGTTTGCCCGGGATTTCAAGTCAAAACAGGGTCCAAAGAAGCCTGTAGGCCCCCGGCTGCACCCCAGGAATTCGGAAGTGAGATCATGAGGTAGTCTACTAATCAATCACTGTGTTACGGTGAAGCCTTCGACTTATGTGACAATTTTATTTTAGGCTTGAAACTTGGCAAGTTTGAACGTCGGACCTCCCTACCCGGAGTCCGATCACGAAACACACTGTGAGGCCGGCTCATTTGAAAAATCACCGCCGCGTGACCCTACGGTCGGACCGTGACGCCCGGCATTGAAGATTACTATGATTAGCCGCGTGATGACTGGGTACTAACTTCCGTCCAATGATCAGATCGGATGCGGGCGCGGCCGGGCGCGGCCCTGGCCGGAAGTTCCCCCCCCGCAATTATGGCAAAATCGGACGGTACCGTACCGTAGTACGGTCGTACTACCGTACTTCAAGCTTTGCGTTCCCCCGGCCCGTCAGACGCCGGGCGGCTGCCGCCTGGGCCCCCGGCCGCGCGCGGCGGCCCGCTGGCCCGGCCCTGCGGCTGTGAGCCTGAGTCCGGCCCGGAACCCGGGCCTGAGTCAGTCGCCGGAACTTCAACACTGATGAGCCTGATAAGAACTTAACTTTGAGTAAAGAGATAAGAACTCGGACAACTGGATTTTAAAGTTCTGCCGGGCAAGGAGGCTCATCCGATTATTTTACTACAGAAGAGATGAGTGGGGGGCGAGATAATAATAATGGTAGTAAGTTAATACTGCAGAAGCAAATTGCCCAGGGTCGGATCTCAGTCGTTGTCAGCAGAAAGAAAAGTGAAAAACAAATGTTACCAAAAAATGTCTTTTCGGTCTACTGCTGACCACATATCCTTTGCACCTCTCCACCCTCGCCTTCCGCCTCCCTCTCCTGGTATTTCAGCTCGGCCAGTCCTGCTCCTCCTCACTCGCGACCCTCACTTTCTATCTCCTCCCTCTCTTCCTCGATACCTCCTGGACGCTTCCGCCGCCTTTCTCTCTTATACCCGCACTCTACAGTCCTGACAAACATCATGGTCTCTTTTGTTTCTACCTTCTCACGCCCGGCTGTCTCCTCCCTCGCAAGGCGCGCTCTCGCTGCTGCCAAGCCTGCCTCCTCCTCCCGCTCCCTCTCTACCCTCGTCACCTCCTCGCAGTCGATCCTCCTCGACGACACTGCCGAGCCGGCGCTCTGGCAGTGCTTGCCGGAGTGGTGCAAGGAGCACAAGAAGTACAACCAGGTCTTCGTTCTGGGAGATTCGGTCAGTGATTGCGAAGCAAAGATCGAGAAGGGACGGCCAGCAATACTTGGCAGCTTTGCCAGCAGCATTGAGAAGAGGAGGAGGCGTTTTCTCATCGCACGGGATCCTTTCTGGGGAAAATAATCTCCAGGAACGCTGCACTGTATCATATGTGTAAAACATTTAAACGTTGTCTCGAGAATGTAGATAAGGCTGTGATGGTGATGGTGATGGTGATGATAGTGATTGTTTTATTTACCAATGAAGGTTTCATTGCGTTTTCTCGACTTCCAATGACTCGAAATCACTGCGAATGACAAAGACATCTCATCACGTCCATGTTTTCTTGGTCCTTCCTATGTTGAAGATAGTTTAGATGGGAATATTGATGTAAATCCAAGAGCAATGTATGAATCTGGAAGATTCATCACCAAGTGAAGAGTACAACGTGTGCTGACCCAGCATATGTCCAGAGACTTGAATTTTACAAGACTCTTACAGTCCTCTTGCGTATGAGTGAGGAGAGGCAGGAACACATCACAGGCCCAAGTTCTTTCACATTTACACAGGCAAGAATCAGATTTCTGCCTCGAGAAAATCATCAGATAACTTTCAAAACATTCAACATTATGTCGATCGTTTCCACGCTCGTTGACTAGCTCGACGTCTCTACTGTTGTTGGCATTGCACCTAGCATAGAAATAAGTAAATCCTTCCCCTGCTAAGTCTCCTCGGCTTACTTGTTGGCCTCCTCCTCCGAAGGGATGGCCGTGCTCGCTTTCCGAGTCCTCAGTTGCTGCGTCTCCTCCCTGCCAAGGTTCAGCCATCGAATGGATGGGAAACGAGCACAGACCTGCGATGCCGACTGAGCTGAAGCCCGAATCTGCTTGGCCATCTCCGTCTTCCAACCATCTCAGAATTTTTCTCGAAGACCATTTGGCTTACCTCTGTGCAAGGTTTCGCCACGTGCTCATCAGCTTCATCGTGGGGCTGCAGGGAGTCAACAAGGAGCTAATGCTGCCGCGAGATTTACCTTGAGCCTCTGGGGGGCTGGCAACAAGCCGGCAAGCTTGTTCCAGACATCAGGCTCCATCTCGGTCGGGCTAGGAAACTTGACACTGCAAGGAATTTCATCAATGTTACCATGACGGCACATGGTGGGATATTCTCTCACGTGAAATGGATGAAGAGGTTGCCCTTGTTGAACTGGTTGCCTTTGATGGGCATACCTTCCCCCTGCAGAACAAACCCATCAGAACGAGGGGAAGCACTTCCTTCAAGCACGCACTTGTACGCACACCCACGAGCCTGGCTGCGTAATGCATCCCTTGGGTGACGTGACAATGACCTTGTTTAGAAATGCTCTCAGTGAGTCCACAACTCACTGGTCCAGTTAGCTACCTGACGTTTGTCCAGATGTGTGAAGGCGAATTCGTATCCGAACAACGCCTCTCTGCGCAAGGTCCATCACACCCCAAGGAGCTTGTTTTCAGGTATATTCACACCTGAGGCTCAATTCATGCTCCATGGTCAAATGTGCCCCTCCACGTTTGAATCTGATTGAAGAGACATGAGCGAAGAAATTCATCTACTTGAGTCTTTCATACTTCGGATGTTGCATCTGAGAGATGATCAAGATGACGTCGCCAGTGATACAACCTGCAAGCTTGTCAAGAGATCTTGCAGCAGACTGACAGAAGGCCTTAGAACCAGGCATCTCATCCGCCTTCTCCTTGAAGACCAACTTCCTTCCGTTGTCCATTCCCCTCTCGATGCGGACCTCAAGTACCTGCAGCCAGAAGATGTCACAAATGCGACAGACTGAAAAGGTTGCAATACCTCTTTCTTCTTTGTCACCCTTCCTTGCGAATCGGCGATGTGGCGATTCAAAGCCATTTTCTTCGTGCTCCCACAATACAGTTCTTCAAGTGACACAGAAAGCTTGTGCATAACATCTTGCGTCTTGCGCTGTCGAGGTCTTCCGCCGCCACCACCGAAAATATTGTTGAATATTTCGAATGGGTCTACGCCTGCCTCTGAAAGCAGCAAGAGAGGGTTAATACAAAGGTGGTTGTTGAGGAATCGAGGCTCAAGCACCTCCCATTCCTTCCTTGAGAGCGTCTTCACCATGCTGATCATAAATTTTCCTTTTCTCAGGATCACTCAAGACCTGTCGTGATCTCCATGAGACATCGAACAATGAGAAGTTATGAGAGTGGAAAACCTCGTAGGCAGTTGAGATCTCTTTGAACTTCTCAGGATCACCTGATACGGAATCAGACAACTACTTGTCAACAGTTGGCAGGTCAAACCTCCCTTGTCTGGATGGTTTTTGATCGCAGCTTTGCGATAGGCTTTCTTGATCTCCTGCTCCGAGGCATCTCGTTCGATGCCTGAGGGTCACATATTATGTTGAGCTCTCCCAGCATCGAGGAGTTCTCGTCACCGAGCAGCTTGTAGTACTTGGTGTTGTCGCTCTGTGGAGGCCCTCCTCGTGGTGCTCCTCCTCCTCCATCAGCAAATCCTTCGAAGCCAGGAGGAAAGCCTCCCGAGAAGAAAGAAGATCCTCCAGGGAAACCCCCACCAAAGGACCTGCAGGATACATATAAGGCGACAAAGTCGTGGCCTGCTCAAGCTCACTGGCTGAAGAATACTGGCATTCCTCCTCGAAGACGGAGGGGAATGCTTGCTTTGCGTCCATTGAGCTCCACATTCAGCCTGCTCTCCAAAATTGTGCCAGCCCCCTGAGACATTCATGTGTAAGACGAGAAATCAGTATCTGAGTGGCGGCGTAGACGAAGTGCGAGATGGGAGAGAGGGAGACTTGACCTGAGTGCGCAAAAGTCCAAGGAGAAGGAAGCATGAGAAGACGAGGAGATGGTTGAACTTCATGGCTATGACAGGCCTGGACTCCTCGCTCCTGGCGGACCAAGGTTGGAAGTCAGTCAAGATCGCTTCAAGCCAAAAGAGTGAGAAAGAAAGAATCGCCAGTCATGGCTACAGAGGAGAAACTTTAGTAAGTGAGAAGGAAATGATCTACTATTTGGTCCGAGACAGCAGAACAGAGTATGCAACAATGAGGGCCTTCAGCAGCGCTGGGCTGTTGTAAGAAAGAAGCTACAACTCGCATAGATATGACATGTGGCTGAGAGAATACAGATGAAATTTATGGTTCGGGGATGTGCAAAAAGGAAAGCGAGCGGAAAGAAAAATGAAAATGAGTCTCACAGCACGATGGTTCAATGGCAGGTTGGGGAAAGAATCAAGGAAGAGAGGAACAGGTCCGTGGTGAAAAAAGAAAGGAGAGAGGAATGGAAGAAGAAGTAGAAGGAGGAATGGAGGGGGGCGACGAGAGGGCGGGGAGTGAGAAGGATGTAGAAGTGCAGGAGAAGGGGCGATAGCGTGCAGGAGCCGAGCGGGTAGCAGGAAGAGTGCGTCAGCAGGACACGCGCGTCGAGCATTGCAAGCGAGGCATGCAGGGGCAGAGGTAGGGGTAAGTTACATTGGTAGGTGGGGTAGTGAAAAAATGGGTGGTATGGTGGTAAAGATTAGGCGGTACTGTATATGAAAGTAGGGGTGGGGTGTTGCCAACGAGGGGTGGTGAAGACTTACCAGGGGGTGGTGGAAGACATCTCTTAAAGGAAGGGGTGTTCCTAGGGCCCAAAAGGTATCAAATAGTGGGTGGGGTAGGCAGTGAAGTTGGGAGGGTACAGTGGTGCTTGGGCCATGGTAGGGGTCTCCATGTCATGGGTCCGATCCATCATTTACTGAGACACGAATATGGCGATTAGGGGGTGGGGGTGTTTAATGAAGGGGTGGTATCAGAGGAACGAGGAGGCTCACAGAACTTCCAGACCCCGAGTAAGTACCCCCCCTCACTACTGCTGAAAGAACTATGTGGGGTGGGGTGGTTCTCTGAGGCGGACTTTTAAGCTGTCATGGATGGCCCGGTACAGTTTTATATTGAGCTAGAGCTGGATAAAATAAAAAGCCCCGAGCTAATGTAGTTAGCCGACTACAACATGGGGAAGAAAGTTAGAGCGCGTGTGGGGAGGAAGTTGGGGGGCGGGGGGGGGGGGAGGGAGAAGGCAAAGACGACGATAATGCCTGAGATCATGAGAGGGGTGGAGAAACAGGAAGATTGGGCATGTGGCAACACGGCGATTTGATGAAAATACAGCAAGTCTGCAGGTAATCACAGGAGTTCGATAGAAGGAGAGTGAAGAAACGGTGACAGTTCAGGTCAAGTGAGGAGATAAAGATGCATGAAACTTTCATTCTTGGGTGAAATCTCATATGTATGCGCTCGCAGATTCCCTCATGCAAGAGATGGCTGAGAAGTTATAAGCTGCGATATGAAGTTGATCAAATACAAGCATGAATCGTTTCTGGGGGGAGCAGGTGCTGACGACGCGAATCTTGTAGCATTTCTGATAGCACGCGAATATGACAGGCTGGTTGTTTTGCTTCATCGGCTTTTTTGTTCTCCTTCTTTTCTTCTTCCTCGGGATCTACCCGCAACTGGTTGGTTTTACTTCAATCTCGCTCCTGTGCTCGCTGACGAAGGCTGTATCGCAGGAAGACTACTGGATGTGGACAGCTGATAGATGTTATGTAATCGCACAGAACAAGACGTGCAGTACAATCCCGTCTGAAGATGCTTGCTCAGTCTCTGTGCGGGTTCTCATGGAACGGAACCCAGTGAGTCTTGCTGTCTCTCGTTCCCTTTCTTCGGCTGCTGTCATGATGATGATGGTGCCTAAGGTATGTGCGAGAGAAATCTGCACCAAGAGATCAGCTACCGTCTACAACGACCCCAGCACTGAGGACGCCATGTAAGAACCACCAACCAGTTCTTCAGACGTTCCCTCACCCCTTTGGTGCTCGTCTCTTCAGCTTTGGCTTCGCAACTACGCCGTGAACACAAGGTTAGAGTCTGGTACATGGATAGCACTTAGCTCCTGACACATTGGCTCCTTGAAGTCATGTATGCTACGAGAACGACAGCCAGGGAGTCGTCTCATTCCATGAGCCTTCCTCGGTGAAGTGAATCTACTTCATCATCTTTGTTGACAGACAATCGCAGGTCACTACCAGCCAGATGCTCGTTGCGGTGTTCGTGAGCATGATGTAAGCCTCCTCCTACTTTCCTCTTGTTCTTGGTGCCTCACTTGTCCTCTCTTCTTCTCTTCTGCTCGTTCAACTTGTTCTTGCTGAATTTCTTTGACTCATATCATTCCCTTGTTGGATCTTCCTCTTACATCTTTCTCAGCTTCTTCGTCCCGGCGTGCATTTTCATCCCGGCCTTTCTCCAGCCGGTAAACGCGGCTCCTTCCCTTGCCCCGCCCTCTATCCTACTTGTATCATCACACTGCTCTCGATTTCGTTGCCGTATCACTTTCCCCACTGTGTGCTTTGCCGCCTCGTGACCGCCCCTCCTGCTAAAGGGCTCGTACATGGCTCAATTCTTGAAGAGAATCGGGATTCAGAAGGTAGGAGGAGAGGGAATGAAGAGGGCAGGAAGAGGGCGGCTGAGCTTGAGGATTGGACAGTCAGAGGAGCTGTTGGAGCATCATGAACTGCAAGAGAGCCCGACGCATCCGCCCAACTCAGCGGTAAGAGTACATGGCAGCAGACAGAAGAGCCTGAGTGTAGTGCTGCAGGAAGTGAGCCTTTCCTCCAAGATCTGGATGGACGTTAATACGGGCAGTAGAGACAGCCCGCATGCCAAGCCTTGATCGTCAACTATTCTCGTCTATTGCCAGCTGCTCTCTCCAGCCTTCTCTCACTCGTCTTGCTCAAATTTGGTGCTGTAAATTTCCTTCTCCATTGCTTTCACGTCTATCATAGTCCGACCTCATTCGTCTTTCTTACTGCTCAGCATTATCGCTCATCAGCCGTCCGTTGCGCCAGCTCTACATGCCTCGGCGTTGGGTTGAAGAATTCAATGAACTGCTGATCTAGAACGTGGACCTGCAGTGAAAATTCAGCGAGGCGGGAACAGGCGGATGAGAGGAACGCGGTCAAGCTCACTGTTATGAGAGTCGCCTCAACAAGAAGAACAAAGCAGGCGGTAAAGACACCACAAGCTTGACATACCTTTGTTCCCGCATATCGCCGGTACTCTTCAAAGATGCTTGTCAACGACCATTGATCCAGTTTGCGGAGGCATCCAACCACACACCCCTACCAACCCATCAGCTGGTGCTTCTGTTTGCTCTACACCGAACATCTCAGCCCCCCCTCCCCCTCTCAGCGTGTGCATGCTCTCCTCACTCTCGTCATCACCGTGCGGTGTGTTCCTTTGGTGCAGTGAATTAGGAGGGGACGGTCAGCCGTCGCCTCAAGGACCTGCAGGATATGATCGCTGCTCTCTCTCGTCAAGCTTCTGCTTCACCTTGCACAAGGCCTCTGATAGCACTTCCTCGTCCGAACTCAGCAGCGGTTCCTTGTTGCCCTGCAGCACCAGCCGCGTCCACGTGATGTTGTTCTGCGACAAGGTTTAGGATTAGGGTGACAGGCAGTATGGAGCAAGTTGAACAGAGGGGACGAGGCTGAAAAGAGCAAAAAGGAGAAGAATACCAAGAAAAAGGAGGCGAAGGGAAGGAGAAGAGATGAAGAATAGGAGAGAGAAGAGTACAAGAGGAGGAAAACTAAGGTGAGTGAAACATACCTGTCGGAAGAACGTTTCTGTCTCTAATGTGTACTCATGTTCGCTGAGGTTCAAGACTGAATGAAGAGCTAGCTTCTGTTTGTTAAGATATTAGAAAAGCAAGAAGTCGACTCAAGTAAACATCATGTTCCATCAAGATGTCGACTCAAGTAAACATCATGTTCCATCAAGATGTCAAATCAAGTAAACATCATGTTCCATCAAGATGTCAAATCAAGTAAACATCATGTTCCATCAAGATGTCAAATCAAGTAAACATCATGTTCCATCAAGATGTCAAATCAAGTAACATCATGTTCCATCAAGATGTCGACTCAAGTAAACATCATGTTCCATCAAGATGTCAAATCAAGTAAACATCATGTTCCATCAAGATGTCAAATCAAGTAAACATCATGTTGCAAGTAAACATCATGTTGCACCAATCAAACATTTCGAAGGCACAGAAATCTGACAATTTCGACCTTGAGAAATGCAAAATTCTTCTTGCCGGGAAAGCCGGATCGATATACTCCACGGCAAACTCGGCTGCTCCACAAGGTGAGGATGCAGAGAAGGGATTGGAACGGTCAAATAAAACAAAAGATATGAATGGGGACGAGATTCGCACCCAAAGTTTAGTGGCGGAATGAGCAGATCCTGCATGTGATCGTCAGACAAACACAATCAGCGACGAGAGAAGAAGAAAGTTTCAAGGGCAGAGAGGCAATCAGCAAGACGCAAGAGGTTGAGGTGCATGAAGCATATCACTTGTTCGAGCTTTGGGTCAAGCTCCAGGCTGAGAGCATTTCCACAGGACAGACAACGATAGACCTCACATCTGATCGATGAGTTAAGACCGCAAATCACATGGAGGAGAGCAGACGACCTGTCCTCCTTATCGCTCTCGCCCGCATCTCTTGCTTGCAGCAAAGGACTCTTCATCGAGTTATTTGCCCTCGTTCTTCTCCTTAATCTTCTTCTTCTCCTCTTCTAACATCTGCAACCCTGTTACCTCTTGTGATTTCAAGTCTCCCTCACTTACAACTTTGAACAAAGCTTCCTCAAGCTCTGGAAATCGCTTCTTCTCCTGTTCTGTTTGTCAGATGCTTGCGTGCCATCAATTCATATGAACCACTCTAACATAGAACATTCACGATTCGCAAAGTTCAGAGGACAAGTTAAAAAGAAGAGTTCGTGAGTGAAGAGGCGCAATCGAAGGGAGATCACAAGGAAATTGTAACGCAGATAGATTTCAATGATCAAGAAGGTTTCGGTAGGAATGGAACCAAAGAAAACAAGAGAAGGAAGACGATAAGAGATGAAGGAAGACTATGGTGGATGGACATGTCTGAGAGAAAGAAGACTGTTGGAGATGGATATGGACATTTCTCACCTCCATCGTCTCTCGTATCACCCATCCTAGCATCGTCATGCCGAAGGGAACGGCAAACCAGAGCACCGCCTGCGCGTCTCTGTGCCTCCACCCTGCCATGCCGCACAGCCTTCAAGCCTACTAACCCACCCTACACATTTACACTAAAACTACCCCCACTAGTCAACAGCCTGGCCGGCCGGGACGGGCCCGGGGTCTAAAAAAGTTGCCGCCTCTTATTGTTTGGAGTAGAGGTTCTCGCTGCCTCTCCTTTTATCTATGTCTTTATCTGAGGCGGATTTGTTAAATGCCTCTATTGTCGTTTCTGACTTCACTAGGATCAGGTGACTGCGGCATGTTCCTACTAGCGGCGTTGAAGTTGAATCGTCAAGGGCTCATGCTCAACCCGAGGAACTTGCGGGCCAGATGGCTCATGCGCAGGAGATCCCTGAAGGAAAAGGTGAGAAGACAAGCCAAGTTGAGAGAAGCAGAAGCCGATGGGAAGCAGCGACTAACTCACTTGCTGCTCGTCTGGCTTATCGCCTGATTGTTCCTGGTGCACATCCACCACTGCAGAGTAGCAGCGTGAGAGCAAGATATACGGAAAAGGAGCAGCAAGAAGGGAACTTGAGAAGCAGCAGGAAGGGAATGAGCGGAAGCAGGAAACCAGGTGCAGGTCGGAGCGGGATCCAGGAGCAAGGCAAGGGGAAAGAGCAGGAGCAGGAGCAGGAGCAGGTCTGAGCGGGCGCGGTAAGGGTACCTGGACAAATTCTGCTGGCTTGACTGCCATGACGCCAGGATCCTGTCCAACAGACTTGAGCTTAGAAGCAAAACATAGAGAGAAGGAGCCCAAGACGATGAAAGGCGTAGAGGGTTGACGAGGGGGAGGGGAAGTAGCAGGAGCCAGCAGGAGAGTCTCACAGCCATGGCTTGGAAGTTCTTCTCCAACTCGTTCTCGCCTATCTGAAACCTGAAGAAGCTTCAGCCATCGACCTTAATCCCTCATGCTTGTGCTCCTGCCCTTGCTCATGCTCTTGTTCCTGCCCTTGCTCATGCTCTTGTTCCTGCTCTTGTTCCTGCTCTTGTTCCTGTTCGTGCTCTTGCTCCTTGTGCTCCTGCTCCTGCTCCTGCTCCTGCTCCTGCTCCTGCTCCTGCTCCTGCTCCTGCTCCTGCTCCTGCTCCTCCTGCTTCTACTCTCAGATCTCACAGCTCATGAAGGGGACGCATTAGCTCCATCGCATCGAAGTCACCAGTCGAATCCTGCTCAGAGGATAAGAAGATTGAGAAAGCGGCAATATAGGAGGAAGCTGTGAGGCGAGGGAAGGGGACGAAACAGGAAAAGCTTAGGCGGAGAAGGGAGTGGGAGGTTAAGCAAGAGAGGAGAGAGGAGAGAGGAGAGAGGAGAGAGGAGAGAGGAGAGAGGAGAGAGGAGAGAGGAGAGAGGAGAGATTTGAAAGGTGTGAAAGGGAGGGCAGGGGATTTGACAAGAACAGATTTCCTCACCCTGTCAATCTGCGCGAAGAGGAAGCGGATGTATGGAGGAGCCAAAGTTTTGGTCATGAACTTCACCGCACGGCGGTAGGACGGGTTTCCGTCGCAGGTGATGGACCCCTCCTGCATCCACACGCGCAGAGAAGAAAAGGGGGGTATCTCCCTACTTCTCATCCACTCCCAGTCAAGATCCCTGAGCCGATCAAGCCTGCGAGCATGCAGCCGCTGGGAGGCGGAGGGGATCCGCAGGAGGAAGATGAGGATCGCGTCGACAACGCAGCAGAGGTCCATGCACTGAGACCAGTGTGAGAGTACGAGGAGAAGAAAGCATGTGGACAGCAATATCAGCAGGAGATTGGGAGGAGGAGATTGAGAAGGACAAGAAGGATGACGAAATGCAGGAAAGAAAATTTAGCTGCTGCTGATGGTAATGAAGATGATAATGATAATGATGATGATGATGATGATGATGGAGATGATGATGAGCATTGGAAGTTAGAAGGGTTCGGTAAGCATCACAGGAGGAGAAACAGGAGTGCAACAGCAGCACAGAGGGCTTTGTGAGCTACTCACACTTTTGGACAAATATCCGCTATCAAGTAGCTCTGCTATCGCATCAGCTTCCGAGTCAAAGTTTGAGACAAGTCACCTTTCTGTACATCTTCTGCAGTCTGAATGATGTTGATTACGTCATCGAGATTGTTTTCAATATGCTGCTCCTCTTGATCGCAAAGCCGCGTCACGTGTTGGAGGACAGACTGCGAGAAGATGAACAACGTGAGGAGGAGGAGGAGGAGGAGAAGCCAGGAGGAGGAGAAGCAGAGGCCAGGAGGAGGAGAGAGGAGGGAAAGAGAGCAAGAGGAGGAGAAGGAATGGAATGAGGGCATGATGGAAGCGGATGACGAGTATAAGTTGTAAGAAGCTCACAGCAACGATGTGGAGAGAGAACAGCAGAAGCCCTGAACGAAAGCTGATGAGAGATGCGCCAGTAGACAAGACAAAATGCTCAAGAGGAGGAGCAGAAACTGAAGGAGGGACAGAACGAGGACCAGGACCAGGACCAGGACCAGGACCAGGACCAGGACCAGGACCAGGACCAGGACCAGGACCAGGACCAGGACCAGGACCAGGACCAGGACCAGGACCAGGAGGAGGACTTACGAACGCTGTAATATGACGACGAGTAATCCGAGAACAAGTCAGCAATCCGAAGCGTTCTGATGAAATTGTGGAGGGCGTTGAAGCCTTTGGAGGTGAGAAAGAGTTTCGCTTGACTGTAGGAGAAGACAGCAGAAGATATCGCCTGAAATCAGATGCACCAATATGAGATGGAGAAGTTTCAAGCAGGGGAAGCTGACAAGGAGAGAAGGGAAGCAGCATAAAACTAAGCAGCATAAAACTAACGAACTGGAGGAGAGGAACCGCGACGGAGAGGAAGAGAAGGAAGGAAAAGCAAGAATGGAAGAGCACAAAGAAGATACAACCAAGGAGCAAAAGCGTGCCCAAAAAAACTTACTTTGACCAAGAGAATCATTTGCAACATTTTCCATTTTCTTCTGTTGAGATCTTTTGCCTTCGAATTCTCCTGATGGAAAATGAATAAGAGCACGAGAGCATGGATGTGCTGGACTTCTCATATAAATACAAAAGTGACGCAAGTGTCGCATTGTGGGTGTTGAGGTGAAATGAGTGCAAAGAATGTGTGAAGAGTGGCGTGCAAGCATTGAAAGTGTTGATATGATACAATCAGGTATTTTTCCACTCACCTTGCAAAACTTCTCGACTTGTCCGATCAGGATCGATACGTTTCCGTCATGTGCCGGGAACAAAGACAAGCAGACAGGGTCGTTGCACATCTCGTAAACCTAACATTCGATCAAAACGCAAGCACGAGGAAATTGAGATCTAGAACAGCAAGAGGATAAGTAAGAAACGGCGAACGGGAACGAGAGGTCGAAAAACAAAGGTGAAGGGGAGGAGGAGGAGGAGGAGGAGGTGAAGGAGGAGAAGGAGGAGGAGATGGGGGAGGGAAGGGGGGGGGTTCTCACGCAGCGGAGGGCAGAAGTCTTGAGCTGTTCGTGGCCGCGAAGCAGCACGAGGGACTGGAGGATGCGGACGAAGCCCATGGTTGTGAGTTTGACTCGGAAGCGCGAGTGAAGCATGAGAGGCCTTCGGAGGAGGTGGAGAAGGACCGAGAGCGAGCAGAGATTGCACTTGCAGTCGTCCGAGCATGCTCGAGTCTTGTCAAAGGAGAGAGAGGAGGAGGGAGAAGAGGGAGAAGTGGGAAAGGAGGACAGCAGGACGGAGGAGGATCGAGAAGAAGAGGAGGGTAGCGAGGAAGAGGATCCTTGCAGCAGGTGTCTGCTGATCTGAAAGATTCGAGGGAGGGCGAGTAGAAGGAATTTCATCCTCCTGCTGAGAACTTGCTGGTTGGAAGTCGCGTCAAAGATATGGTTGCGCGTTGACTCGTCGAACTTCTCGAGCACTTTGACAACTTCGACGTCTGACGCGGCGACTTCTCTTCCTTGCCGCATGATGAGGAAAGTGCAGAGTCTGAGTGTGATGATCAGGGAAAGGAGGAGGGAGAGAGGGGGAGAGAGGGCGGGAGAGGGGGAAGGGGAAGGGGAAGGGGGGGAGGATTGATTTTTTCAGAGGAATAGGCAAGCAATGAACAGGAGAAAGGAAGGGGAGGAGGTAATGATGTTGGTCTGAGGCCAGGAACAAAGATGGTAGGAAGCAACAGGAGGCAGTAGAAGAAACGAGTGAGGGCGAGTAATCGTTGAAATCACCCGTCATATAACCCTGTACAATTCAAGGAGACGCTGTTTTCCTTGAAGAGGGTTTGGATGGTTTGAAAGTAAACAACCAGGGTCTGTGCATGTTGTTAGCTCTGCCTAGCATCGCAAACATTGACATATCTTACATCTTCTTGGTAGAGAAGGCCAGGTAGATCAGGGCTGACCTTGAGCAACTTGCTGCTCTTGTTCTTCATGGGCCGAAGTCTATCAGGAGGGTTGCAGGACAGCAGCATGCGGCGATGGGACGGAAGGTCGTCCTCGTTGCGCTGGTGAGCAGGAGCAGCATTTGTTTTCTCAGCCTGTCTCTGTAGAAATCTCCTCAATGCCGGCAAATCTTCTGCTGAGAACTTTGTGATGTCGTCGTCGACGTCTTCCAGCTTGAGGGCCGCGCCAGGTTTGCTTCCTCCTCCCTTGAAGAACTTGAAGAACACTTCTTGCACGTCGGAACTTCCGAGCATCATGGCCGAAAACCTGTCGTCTCGGAGGTGCGAGGCCAAGTTGAGATGTGACATGTCCACTGAAGACGACTCGTCCGAATCTGAGGCAGACGATGAGAACACAAACCAGAAAGCGATCATTAAGTTTGAAAGGGCCATCGTGAAGTTTGAAATCTGCACAGAGGAGGTTTGAAATGATGTTTGTCTCACCGCTGGCTATTTCAGACTCGTCGAGATCAGCTTGCCTGTCACCCTCAAGGGTTGTCGCATCAGCAACGTCCTGCTGCACATCTTCCTCCTCGCCCTCGTCCTCTCGGCTCGCCAGGATGTTGATTGCTCGCATCAATGACTTGTTGAACGCATTCTGATGTGAAATATGTAAATGAAACTTGATCCCATCATAATCATCATCATCATCATCATCATCATCATCATCATCATCATCATCATCATCATCATCATCATCATCATCGTCATCATCATCTCCATCATCTCCATCATCATCTCCATCATCATCATCACCACCACCACCACCACCATCATCTCATCATCTCCATCATCATACCATCTTCCTCCACTCAATCCTGCCCAAGTCCTCTCACCTTAATCGCCATCGTTCTCGACGGGATGCCGCGAGGCGGATGATCGCTTTCATGAAACAAGAAGACAAAGTTGAACCAGTCGAACAGGACGAAACGAAGAGTGATCATTTCTGACATCTGTGTCTGCAACAAGACAACTTTGTGCTCCATCGACGTCCTCAACTTGTTGTTCTGTATAGCCTCGTGAGAAGTTGAATTTGATCCACTAAGTCGATTGCTCTTTTCTTCTCTTCCTCATCCTCCTCCTTCTCCCCCACCACCATCATCATCACCAACACAATCGTTTCATCATCCCTGCCATCCTCCTCCTACTCGTCGATTCTATTGTCATCGCATTCTCCAAGTAACCCTTCCTTTTGCATTTTCTCTTCCCAATCATTGTCAACTCTGCATCCTTCACCTATACCACCAGCATCTACCGCACAAGAGTCTCTCACATCGTCTTTCATGTTGAAGGGCTCCACGATCTTATCAATGCACGTCTCGTCAATTTTGATCCCTTCCTGCTCGTAAGAATTAAACGCATAAGCTTGTCATCGTCGATTCTCAGACGGTATCAGCACTAGCATGACTCACTAGCACAGCATCAAGGACCCGCTGTCAACATCACTTTCATCTCGCACGTGATGATCGATGGATCGCAACATGGCAATGATTCAGTCCACCTCTGCTGTTCGACGAGCAATTATGAGCATGGCGTGAGCGGCGTTGTAGCTTGCTTTGGTCTTCTTTGGAAAGAAGCGTGAGAGACCTGAACCAAGTTTGATGGCAGCAGGACGAGAAAGCAAATGACCTTCGACGTCTGAAGCTTTCACCCGAAAATTGCTTCTCGTCTTCACCGACTGCTTCATCACCTAACACGCGAAGAAGATTAACAATAAGGTTGAAGTGACTTTCATCGCATTAAATCAACCATCATCAGATAATGAACAAGACGTCTCAACAAAGTTGCAATTCACTCACTTGCACCGCCAGCAACGATGCCACAAGGGTAACGTCGTTGGAAGACTGATGTCCTGGACGCACTCTGTCAGTCTTGCCTCGTCCTCTGCCTCTTTCACTCCTTTCCTACTCTCGTCGTCTCACCCCCCGGCGTATCATAGACGTCCTTCATTCCCCCGCATTGAAGAAACTCACTGGAGAAATTATATCAGCAGCCCCCTCCCTTCCATCCCCTTCCCAATCCTCATGGATTCAATTGTATCTCACCGCATGCCATTTTCCGTCTTTGTCAGCTGCATCAGAGCATCCCATGCGTCAATCTTTGCAGATAGCGACGTCGTTGTCCTTGCTATCTTCAGCATCTCTTCCACAGCTCCTCGAAAGCTGTTGACAGTGTTATGACTGATCGGTTTCTGCCTCCTTTCGAATATCTCTCTCTCTCTCTCTCTCTCTCTCCTCCCCTCCCCCCCCCTCCCCTCCCTCCTCCCTCCGCCCTTGCTTGGAGGCTCTGCTTCGCTCTCCCTTCCTCTTCCTCTCTCTCTCCTCCACGGCTTCATATCTCTCTAAGAGCTCAGGCACCTTTTGGAGGAGAGCTCCGCAAGGGCTGCTGTCGCTGGAGCCGCGAGCTCGAGGAGGGGGGTGAAGCCTGAGCTCGCTGCTACTCGGAAGATCGACTCCGCAAGTTGTGAATCTGACTTCCATCGAAGCTCTCCTGATGCAAGCAGGGAGTGCGAAGTCAACCGATAATTCTTGATGAGGTGCTTGTAGAGAAGGAAGGTGAACAGCACAACACAAACACAAACACAAACACAAACACAAACACAAACACAAATACAAACACAAACACAAATACAAATACAAGGTGGATGTGTTGGGGCGAGGGATCTTTGGGCCTTGTATTGAACCTTTGGTGTCATGCTTGACCACATTCGGGAATTTTGTGTCATCATCTGTGCACTTTCAGTGACTGTCCTCGTTCAGCGAAACAGGTCCCAACCAAGAAACCGGCTCCAATCTGGCCTGCCATCTTTCTTCTTCTTTCTTCCTTGCCTGGCACGCAACATCATTGATGTCCTGTACTGCACTCGAGCATAACCTGTTCATCTCGTCCTCGATTTTCAAAAAGCACGAGACGTCAAATGTTAAAGTGCAGCCTGTAGATAGTTCAATCAGAGCGCTTTCTGGTCTTACTGTTAAGAGCAAGGGACACACGCGTGTTCTTGCTTCTTAGTTCTCGAGCTCTTTGATTCATCCTTGCTTCGCACTCATCGTCACACCCGGCCTAAACTCTACTCTGCCTCCTCCGAGGCTCCTTCCTTCCTCCTCCCTCCCTCCTGCATGATCCCCGAGTCCTTCCTTCCTCCTTCCTCCCTCCTGCATGATCCCCGAGTCCTTCCTTCCTCCTCCCTCCCTCCTGCATGATCCCCGAGTCGGGGAGTCCGATCCTGTCGCCCTGCAGTATGACAGTGAGATTCGCAACTAACAGCTGCAGTCTATACCACCCACCCTCCTTTTTCTCGTGAGTGTTTGACTCGGAGAGACCCGTACATGGCCAGACTAAGTCATAAAATAACACCATTTGACTAGACATCATCGAGTCATGCACTGGATGTCTCTCTCAGGCTCCTCCTCCGGCGCTGCTGGCGGGCCACCGTCCGGAAGCCTCGGGCGGCGTGTCAGGTGATCCGATCGGACTTGCAAACGCATCCGGCCGGTCCAGGATCTTTCGTCAGCTCAGCAAGGCCTCCCTGACCTTCCGAAGTTCGCTGCCCGGCATCCGATCATCGGGGGTCAGCCTGCCGCCGCACTGCGCCAGTGCGCGGCCGCGGCCGCGGGCGGTCATCGGGTGGCCACCGTGACCGTGTCGGACAGCCGCTACCGGGGAGGGCGCGGGAAGTTTAGCCTAGTAACTTAGTAACGGTTGATTCAGATTCAAGCAGTCACAGGCCTGCCAGCCCGGGCTTCCGCGCGGCTGGTCACAAATGGGACCGGGCTGAAAACAAAAACAAAACAAACAAAGTCCTTATGAGTGACAAACTTGCCAAAAGAAAAAGTACAAACCACAACCCGGCGACGTATCGGCCGGGGGGCCCACTCAGCCCAGGCCGGCCGGTCCCGGGCCCGGGGCAAGTTGACTCGATGGCCGCGGCACAGGGCCTGGCGCCCGGCTGCCGCCAGTCCGTCCGATCGGAAACTCTTGAACGCCGGACTCGGGACTTCATTTAAAACTTTATTGCTCAAAATTTTAAATTGAAGAGGCCCTGGCCGGCTTTTTGATTGGGCTTGAACCTGAGGCGGGTGGGCCTGCGCCGCCACACTTTCCCCACCGAAAGTATGGAGGCCGGCCACCGTCGCGTTGACCCATTCCTCTTTTACATAAAATAATGAAATACAATATAAATTACTACAAACAACCTGAGGAAAACCTACCTAATCAACAATAAAATATCATGAAGTATATATTTTAGTCTCTCAACAACCAACCCAAATTTCCGGTCCTGCGCTTTTTAAGGGTATTACTGCAAACAAGTATTGTAATCAAGGCACAAACAGATACAAATATTTGTACTTTGGGTACAAATATCGTTAGAAGGAATGCTTCTCAGTACCAATAATCACTTAAATATATAAGTTATTATTTTTTTTGAGCCCTTGGGTCAACCGGCCTCACAATGCTTGTGCAGAACACTTGAGGAGGGAGAAGGGGAAGATGAAGTTGAGCGTGGTCATGGACAGAATGATCAGGTCAACTACTGGTAGCGACATGCATGATAACAATGAGAAGAAGGAAGTTTGTGAATAGAAACAGAAGCAAGTGAGTATGAATAGATGCAGAGCTTGGTCGTCAATCGATTAGTCTAAACAGTCGAGCCAGTGGCGACATGCGTGTTTGAAGCACCTGACTATAATGATTTGATTTAATTTGAAAGCGGTTGACTATTGTGCTTTGTTGCAGGGAGATGTGCAGCAGATCATCGATGTCCAAGTCGTTGGTCTTGTTAACCATCTCTATGACGTATCCTCGAGCCGTCTTGTCTTTCTCAGCCTCCTTGAGGCTTGTTCCTCGGTACAACTCTTTGCATGGTTGAGGATGCTCTGACGTGCTTCTGTGAAGAAGCTTGAGCGCCAGGCATCACAGCACCTCCCTCAACAGCCACCTCTCTTCCGTCTTCGCTGCCAGGAGGTATGAGCTGCCCGCACGAATCCCCAGGCTATCCCCGCATCAGTCCATGGACCTTCGGATGGTAGCAACAAGCTCCAAGCAGGAAGAAAGCAAGGAGACAGAGTTTGTTCCCCTTCCAACCAACGATGAATCACCTGGTCTTGTCAAAATTCGTCATTCCTCCGCTCACATCATGGCCATGGCGGTCCAACGTCTGTTCCCCAAGGCGCAGGTGAATGTCTTAGTACGTGCAAGGGTCGGGGATGACGTTGGATCAGGTGACGATCGGCCCGTGGATCGAGAATGGGTTCTTCTACGACTTTGATCTGCAGGGAGGGAGCTTTGAGGAGAAAGACCTCAAGGCAATTCAAAAGGAGATGCAGAAGATCATCAACAAGAAGCTCCCGATCTGGCGCGAAGTTGTGTCGAGAGAGGAGGCAAGGAAGCGCATCGAAGCGCAGAAGGAGCCGTACAAGCTCGAGCTCCTCGACGCCATCCCCGAGGGCGAGGACATCAGCATCTACCACATCGGCGAGGAGTGGTGGGACCTGTGTGCTGGACCCCACGTGGAGACGACTGGAGATATCAGTGGCAAGGCTCTCAAGCTGGAGAGAGTGTCGGGCGCTTACTGGCGCGGAGACGAGACGAAGGCTTCGCTGCAGCGCATCTACGGGACTGCATGGGAGAACGAAGATCAGCTCAAGTCGTACCAGCACATGATAGAAGAGGCCAAACGCAGGGATCACCGCAAGCTTGGGCAGGAGATGGATTTGTTCAGCATCCAAGAGAAGGCAGGAGGAGGACTTGTCTTCTGGCATCCCAAGGGAGGGAGAATGAGGAACATCATCGAGAGCTTTTGGAAGGATCTGCACATGAGGAGCGGCTACGAGCTTGTTTACAGCCCTCACATTGCAAACGTGGAGCTGTGGAAGCAGTCGGGTCACTTCGAATTCTACTCGGAGAGCATGTTCGACCAGATGGATGTTGAGGAAGAGGTCTACCAGATCAAGCCTATGAACTGCCCCTTCCATGTTCTCATGTACAAGAACACCAAGCGCTCCTACCGACAGCTGCCCATTCGCTGGGCGGAGCTGGGAACCGTCTACCGGTACGAGCGATCTGGGACCCTTTCCGGCCTATTCCGCGTGCGAGGCTTCACGCAGGATGATGCCCACGTCTTCTGCCTTCCCGACCAGGTGAGAGGAGAATGAGGCAGGCACAGGAGCAAGTGAATCTGGACGGGGGGTAGGGCGGAAAGGGAAGGGAGAAGCAGAGGAGAGCAATGGTCCTACATGTTCTGATAGCTGAGCAGGTTGAGGACGAGATCCTCAAGATTCTTGATCTCACGGAGAGTGTGCTGTCGAAGTTTGGCTTCACCAATTATGAGATCAACCTGAGCACTCGACCCGAAAAGTCCATCGGCTCTGATGACATCTGGGATCTCGCGACCAGCGCACTCATCAAGGCGTTGGAGAGGAAGGGATGGAGCTACGCGGTGGACGAGGGTGGAGGAGCATTCTACGGCCCCAAGATTGACCTCAAGATCCGAGACGCGCTTGGAAGAAAGTGGCAATGCAGCACAATCCAGTGCGACTTCAACCTTCCTCAGAGATTCGACCTGGAGTACGTCGCTCCAGATGGCTCCAGCCAGAGGGTATGCCAGCGCCACCACCACCACCACCTCCTCCTCCTCCCCCTTCCCCTCCTCCCCTTCTCCTCCTCGTTCTTCTTGTTCTTCTCTTAACTCTCCTCCTTCCATTCTTTCGTTCCGTCATTGCGTTCCATGCCATTCATGATTCTTTGGCCTTGCTCGTTTCTCTCCTTTTCGCCATGGTCTAGCATGGGACCGCAGTTCTTCTTTGCAGCCCACACCAAACCCTAAACCCTAAACCCTTTTCCTCACTTGTTGGTTCAGCCCATCATGATTCATCGCGCCATCTTCGGCTCTGTCGAGCGATTCTTCGGTATTCTTGTGGAGAACTACGCGGGAGAGTTTCCTCTCTGGTTTGCTCCAGAGCAGCTTAGACTTCTCCCAATCAACGACGAAGTCGTTCCCTTCTGTGAGAAGGTCAGCCCCTAAACCTTGTCCACCACCTCCACCCTCTCTGCGATTTCCTTGCCTTCCTCCTCTCCTGCTTTTTGCATGCTGATTATCGTCAAAGGTTGCGGAGGACATGCGGGTCTCTGGCTTCCGCGTTGAGGTACAACCTCTACACCTGCTTATCCCCTCCTGCACTTGCCCGTCCTCCCTCGTTCCTCCTCGCCGTCTCTTCTGCTTTCGCCACGGTGAGGAAGTTTGTAGGTGGACTCAAGCGCGGAAAGGCTGCAGAAGAAGATCAGAAACGCAGAGATCGCGAAAGTTCCGCTCACAGCCGTCGTGGGAAAGAAGGAGGTGAGAACTTTACGTGACAGGGGAGGATGAATGTACAGTGTCGTGATGCTTTGAGGGCGACGAGATGAGAGAAGGGAGGGGACGAGATGAAGAAGCGAAGTTTGGCAAAGAGGATGGAAGCAGGGATTCAGTGAGGAAGAGATAGGAGGAGTAAGTGCTGATTGCATTCACTTGGTTGCTGTGGCAACTAGAAAGATAGATTACAGGGGATGAAATGGCGCCGTGGAAGAAGATCGAATGCGGTGGTGGCTGAGGCAGCTGCTATGCAGGTGGAGGAGAATCAGCTGGCAATGCGCGCTCGTTTCACCGGAGATCTGGGGGCCATGCCGGTTGAGCAAGTGAAGGTGCGAAAAATGGGAGGGCGCGAGCAACGAAATGCAGGAGGCGAAGGAGGAGGAGGAGGAGGATGTGGGCCATGCCATTACTGACATGTGGAACAGAACAAGTTGAAGAAGGCTGTGGAGGACAATCTGAGCTTCGTGGATGCGTAGAATAGACATTTGGATTCAACGGCCTGAGACGAGGAGGTTGATGATGCTACTAGGGTTTCCTTAGTGTAGATGAAGAGAAGCAAAGAGCAGAAACATACAGAAACATTCACTTGAGCCGGAAAAATTTGCTATTTCCAGAAGTTTCGTCGGAAACCTTCAAGAAATCGTGCGATCCTGCAAACCTGCCTCGTCATGAAGCGGCGCGACACAAGGAAGAGAGCTTTGGGTTGAACTGTGACAACTGGGAAGGAGGAGGGGGAGGAAGAGGAAGTGAAGTCGAGAACCTCGCGGAGCTTCTCGCATTGCTCCTGTCTCCACAAAAGACCTGCCCTTCCAACTTCGAGCGAAACCATCCTCACCCTGCGTGACCGCACCATTACTCATTTCTGCCATGTCTCATCCCTTCCCAACTCCAACCACCCGACCACTATGCTAGGCCCACTTTCTCACCCTGATTGTAGCTCTCAGCCGATCTCCTCGCGGCCCGGTGATGTCAAGTTCGTACTTGCGATGTCCAGCAGGGAGCTGTGCGATCCTGATACTTCCCTTCTTCTCCCAGGGGATCCTCCTGAGCCGGTTGTACCCGCTCCTAGCCGACTGTACCGGCAGTGAGCGATGGAGGCACAAAGAAGAGATGCTCACAGATGTATCCAGCAGGTTCTTGAGGAGAGCAAGGCGAGCATGAGACGCCTTCACACTGTTCGACCGGCTGGCGAGTTTTGCTGGTTCACTCCAGTATTGGTTGGAGGAGGTGTAATGATGCTCAGCTTGAATGCCTGCAACAGGACCTCGCATGCCCGGCATTCCAACCATTCCAGGAGCTCCAGGTACACCAGCCTAGAGCCCATAGCCTATGGTCAGTGGCGGGTACAAGATGAAGAGGCTCAACCTGTCCCTGCATGCCTGGGAGCCCAGGTGCTCCTTGTGCACCTCGAGGGCCGAAGTCTCCCAGTTGCCCTTGCTGGCCGGGTCTTCCATCCTCACCCCGAAGCCCAACCGCGCCGTTAGGTCCATCCCTTCCATCATGACCAGCATGTCCGTCCACTCCTGCCTTGCCCGCATCCCCCGGCGGACCAGCCACACCTTCATTTCTGCCACCACCAACCCATCACATGCTGAAGCGAGGCGACAGGAGTCTCACCCTGCCTTCCCCTCCAGCCCCGGTGACCCCTGACCTCCTGGGGGACCCGGAGGCCCCGCAGGTCTTGCAGCTGGTACAGCATGTCATAAGTCTGACATCTCTACAAGTCAATCCGCACCGAACATCTTCATCAAATCTTCGACGTCATTGTCTAATCGCTTGATTTCACCGTCCATGTGTTTGTTTTCTGCTGTCATCATCCTCTGCGTCCTAACTAGATTGTGTTGAAGTTGTTTCTGATCCCAGTCAGCATCGTATACGTCTTCCGACGAATAGGCGTTGGTGTCAGTCAAGGAGGAAGGAGATTTCTCATGATGCCTGAGGGCTACAGCAGCGAAAACTGCCAAACCAAGAGCGACAGACAAGATTATGGCCAGCCTGCGAGCCCTTCCAGGTTGACTCGACCGGAAGCTGCCCCAAAGCCGATAAGATATCAAACATATAACTCTGGAATGACAGAGAAGAAGGGAGTCTTCCAGAAAAAGCGAGTGAAGGTGGCAAGAGCGATAACAGCTTAGAGGGAGGCAATTGGAAAGGAACGAGATAGATCAGGCATTCATCCAAGTGAAACGAAAATCAGGAAAGGTGAAGCATGGAAAAGAGGAAGTGAGTAGGGAAAGTATGAAAGAGAGGAGATAGAAGACAATCAGGCATGTGTCTCATATATCAAGCTCAAAGAAGAGGGATAATGTTGTGTGAAAGGGTTGGCATAAAAACTAAGGAACAGAAAAGCTTTAACACAGAGATCGATAGCACAGTTGCGGTCAGGAACAGTGCAAAAGGGAACGGACGAGGGAGAAGCCAAAAGAGAGGAATCAAGGTGGAAAGAAAAAACGGAGGACAGGCACAGAAGAGGAAAGGAGGAACACAGAAATTATAGTCGCACCTCATGGCGGTCAGCCCAACACCGTCGACTCGCTGTGTCGCCATGGCCGGATATAGATCAGGCAGTTATGGCGGTTAAAAATAGGTGAAAGTTACGAGATGCAGTGACGGGCCCGGGGGGCCCTGCCGGGGGGGCCGGGCCTGACCGGCCCGGCGTCCGACGGCGGCGGTCGCCGGGACTCTCAAGGCTGAGCCGCTGTGACTGTCGCCGGACTCTGCCGGCCCGGTGTGAGGCGGCGGCGCTGCGACTCTGAGTCTCAGGGGGCCGCGCGGCCGGGCGGCGGGCGGTACGGTCCCAGGGCGCCGCCGGCACCTGCGGCACCCGGACCCGGTGACCGGCTACGCCCCGCGGCCCCAGCCTCCGTGTGGCCGTGAGAGACTGAACTTAAGGGCAATACTTGACATGAAAGCCTGGCAGTTTGGAGCCCGTGGGGCCGGGCCGGGCCGCCGCCGCCCGGCACCGTCCGGTCAGGCGGTGTCAGTCCCACTTTCACTTCAAGTAATTTCAAGGAGGCTTTCATGTCCACTGTTGCAAACATCTCTCGCCTCTCAAGCCTGGAAGATCCGGATAGATGACCGATGGCTTTCCCTTCCTGTCGGAGAATCAGACTGGGCAAGACCAGGTATCCTAGACTCAACACAAAATGACATCAAACACCACAATTTCTTTGAACCTGATTCGAACAACGATTTCTTTTGGTATCAGGGAACTCAAGTTACAAACTATGATGCAACTAGTGGCTCGCTGAGCAGCAAAGCACCGAGATTAAACCAGAAAACTGTAGCTTAGTGACCTGAACAGGTGTTCATCTTGATTGGACGAGGGATCACGAGCATTTGATCGGACCTATTCGATATGTCTTCTGGCACGACAGCGGAAGACATATCGAATAGGTCCGTAAAAGGAGAGGTAGGGGGGGGGTGGGTGGGTATCCGTAAATTCGAGGGGTGGGTGGTGGGTCACAGCAAGCGTGGCAAGTGTGGCGTGGGGATTTGGGGTTCTGGAGCCAGCGCCTTGGCCGGTCTCCTTTATAGACTCCAGCGAGGGGACGTTAAGAATTACCGTTGAAACCCAGTACAAAATCGCC